CACGACTGTGATTCGATTCAAAAAGGTTAGGGTCAACAAAATGACTAGAAAGCCACGAGAATCGAGTCAACGACAAGACAGGGAAAAAGAAACAGGGAAAGTATTTCTCATTTCGACTCGACTTGACAAATGAAGGTCAAGTCGGTGGCGTATCAATTCATAAAAAAAAGAAGGGGGAGTTAAATCCAAGATAACTGACAAATAAAAACACTTGAAGGGATGAAAAGTTTGCGATCCAAGATCTAACAAGACAATTGCCAGAAATTCGCATAAAAATACCCAGAAAATCTGATGAACATGCAAAAATCCAAACACAGCGCCTAGAAAAGCAAAAAACAGAAAAAAATCGTACATAATAGTAAATCGAAAGGCAAAGAGAACTTACTCATACTCATGATGGTTGATGTAGAACGCCGGAATGAGAAAAGAGCACCGGAAAGCTTGAGGATGCTGTGTTTGCCGGAGAAGGAGAGTTCAGAAAGATTGAGGGCGAAAAGTGAGGAAGAGAGAAGGGGAAGGATACTTATAGGGAAAGTGGAAGAAACCCTAGCCCTCGGATTAAAGGCAAATTCAACGGATGAGATGGCGCACGGAATACGAAGCGGTGGAAAGAGAAAGTGTAATATCCCGAGATTTTAATCAGTATAAATTACGTTTAATTCCGATATAATAATGTTATCGTTTATTATTTTCGGAATTAATCATATTCAGTCGGGATTACCGAAATTTTTTTTTTCGGCGTACAGAATACGTTCGAAATAATTTTGGTAATTAAGCATTATGTTTCATTAAATAACTAAACATATATTGAGTGATTAAATTAATTAATCACCCAAAAAGAGGTTATTAGCCGTGACTTATATGTTTAAGATCATGACTTAAGTATTTTTCCAATTTGACTACCAAAAAGCCGTGAGCTTTCTTGCGCATAAGGAAACCAAATTTTTCCCTCATCAATTAAGTAGGATACGTGGCCTATGGAGGAGCTAATTAGTCATCACAATATCACTTAAGTGAGGAGCAAGTGGCCTAATCTAAGGGTAGCCACGCCACAAACACCTCACCATCATCACCCCATTGCCGTCTATAAAAGGAGGAAGTTTGGGGAAAATTTCACCATCTTTCCCATACATATATTCAGCAGTAGAGACCAGTTTTCAGCAACCTTCATAACTCAAGAAATTCTCCCAAATTTCATCGCAATCGCACGGCCAAATCAAGCACCATCGCACGGCGAGTACAAGGCCATAAGCACGCCCTAGTTCCGAGTTCCGTCGAGCAATTAGAAAGGTAAATTCCCCCTTAATTCATAATCCTAGTAGTAAGATCTATTCAGGGTTTATTGTTCAGATTATGATCGGGAATTTCACTTAAAACCGTACCTAAGTTCATGTATGCCTAAGTAATTTTATCACCGAACGAATTTCGATTCCCTCCGACAACTTTCGAACCATGATCGCCTAAATGTTCAGTTTAGTCTAATTGATGCTCAATATGATCAGCTTGCTGAGTAAATATGAAGAAAAGTCGATGAAATGGCCCCAGCCGATGCCGCGCCTATCGCGCGTAGCCCCGGGTAGCCTCGGGCCGAGACTTGTTACCTTCAGTATTAAGCATGTTATCCGTGTGATTAGTCCTTAAATTGCTTCAGTTTAATAA